AATTGCGCTTTCGGTCAATTGGAAAATTCGTCGGAAAATACTCGACGAACGAGAGGGAGGATTTCTTCTAGTTTTGGGGGTGGCGAGGTAAAGATGGCGTTCGATTATAGAAAATCTCGCTTCTAACCCCTTGTAAAGAATGGAAACCGAAGACAAAGAGTGGTAGGGAGTCTCTCGATCCCAAGCCGTTGTCACTCGGGGCATAGAAACGTAAAAAACGCAGATATTTAGCCTTAAAGTTCAAAAAGAATCCTCAAAAAGAAAGAAGCTCTAACAGATTGTAATCAACTTTCTATAATTGGATAATTGAACGTTGTTGTATTATTCATGTAGTGAGTTTCGAAAGTAGGTTATCCTGTTATGTAAAATAATATTTAGTCAATAAATTGATAAACTGTATTATATTTATTGAGTGTTTATTCTCGTATAGAGCAGATTTATCGTAGACTTTTTATCGTTTGAAACAAAATCATTAAAATTATAGCAAATTATAGAACATCAAAGCACTGATTGTATGAGGAAAATAATGTACTGTTGCTTTGAAACATTGGATTAAATTTTTTTCATTGAAAAACATCCGTAGAAGAAATGTATTTTTTTTTTTGAAAGGGGTTAGAGGGCTGTCCACAAATAGCGGCGGACTGTTGGAAGAAGGAAAGAAGAAGTTAGGATAGGAAGAAGAAACAAAGTGAGATAGAATAGTGGAAAGAGGAGAAGAAATGTATTATCAGACTGCCAGTATTTCTGTAAATCGTCAGTCTTTGCTTAAATTTCTTCTGAGACTCGATTGTTGGCCATTAAAATTGGACGGCGGATGGCCGAGCGGTCAAAGTGGCAGCCTACCGCTCTGGGAGACCCGGGATCGAATCCGGACGGGTCAAGGAGTTCTCAGGAAGTTTTCGGGGGTGGTCCGTTCGGATATGTCGGGCCCCGTCCCTCACCACCCGGTCGCCCCATTGTGGGCCTGGCAGAACCCATAACGGGCCTGCCATAAGAGGCCCTCTTAGTGTCCACAGGGAGGAAAGAGTAAAAAAAGGGGCCCATTAAAATTGTTGCATCGTGAAGGCGCCACGTAACAAACGCGTAATTTTCACGAAAAATACAGTATGCTGGTGTTCTGTACCTCAGATTACCAGTCAGTTTAATCATGTCTTCCATTATATTCTATGTGTACAATAGACATATATCTGTTATTTACCTTTTTTCCTAGTGAAGCAGTTTTACCGAGTATTTGGCGTATGAGAATTATGATGTATTTTTATGTTTCCGAACAAAATAATACTTATTAAAAAAATACTTGTGAAATTTCTGTCGGGTGAACTTTGTCTGTAGAAAATTTTATCTTTAGAACTTCGATAAAATTTTCACACGTTAAGAACAGGATTACTGAATCCAATTATCTCGACACGAGCTTTGCTAGAAAAAATTTTTTACACGTTACTTAATTGCATATTTCGGAATAAGAGGGCTACGACGATTCGATAGCCACGAGGGTCACAATGGCCGAATCGGTAAGGCGTCAGCCTACCCCTCAGAGATCCAGGATGGAAACCAACTGAACAACTTCTAGAATTTTTAGGGAGTGATGTATCTCTGATACCACCTACGCCGAACCAAACATTGATATGGCAAAAAACCGTTCTTAGTACTCACAAGACAAAAAGATATAAAAAATAAAAAAACAAAGGGGTTTTTTCGTAGCGACGACCGGGAAGTGAGGAACGGGTCCGATCGCTCATGAAAAATTTCCGAGAAACCTGGGTCAACCAGAGCAATAAAATGTAAAAATTTTAGTTTGAGTTATAAAAATAAGTAATATCAATTAATTGAAATATTTTCGTATAAAAGTATGAATTGCTTCTAATAACTAGTACTTATTGAAGCGGTGATGGACTCAAAATCAAAAATAAATTTTGTCGTTTGCGTTTCTTGTTAAAATTTCGGTTCCTATATTAATTTCATCATAAATCAAATTACAAAATAACTAGAATAAATATTAGATGAAACGTTCATATTAGCGGGCATTGTAGGCAACGCAGACAGTGTGTAGATTGAAGTCTTACGAACACGTTGGTATCATATGGTAGTGGGATTCGTTTAAAGGGAAAATTCCAAAAATTCGAAAAGACAACGAGAACAGTCCGTCAGGCCGGATTTCAGCAATAGAGCAACGTGCGTATATTCCCATCGAAACAGTGTGCAGCAAAAAAGTAAGTGACCGAAATTCATGCCGCGTTAAAAGAAGCGTCTGGAAGGTTTCGTGGCACACGAAGTTTTGAGAAGGTCGAACAAGCATCGAAGACTGTAACAGCTGACAACACAAACGCTTCAATCATTGCAACGTTGCTCGACGAAGACTGGAGAATCACGGTAAGAGAAATTGAGGCGGACATAGGAATCTGAAAACGAGCGCACATCGTATTTTAACACAGGTGCTAGACAAACGAAAGTGGCGGTATCAGTGCACCGATCATCAAACTTTCAGAAAATACGGCTGGGAACAGCTCCACCATCCAACTTCGATCTCTTCCCCAAGCTGAAGGAACCCTTTCGGAGAGTGCGTTTTCCGACGCTAGGAGAGAAGTGATCCGACAGATTCAGATGCTCAATAAGAAGGGGACGCTGAACGGAATCCAAGCACTTCCGCGCCGCTGGCAAGTGTACATCGATAAGGGAAGGGATTATTTTGAAGGCCTGTAATCACTTGTATCTTCTTCAATAAATATTTTTCGAGTTAGAGCCAACTGTGCATTACTTTTGGGACAATCCTCGTATTATTATTTTGTTAATTAAATACATGAGTATTTTAAGGTTTGGTCAGAAATTGAGCAAGATATCATTGATAAATTAATTAGCAGTATGCAAAGTCGACTTCTTCATGTAATTCAGGCGAAAGGTGGTCCTACAAAGTTCTGATTTGACTCTTTTTCAATGTTTCATTTCGTGTCAACTTTGAAATGGTTTTGCCATACAACACAAATTTACAATTTGTAAAACATACAGATCAATAATATTTTCTTCAAAAGTTTTTGTTGGATTTAATAAAAAATTAAGGTTAATTCATAAATAGAACGGAAAAAACTAATAAAACGATTTAAAAGTTTTCAAGAGAAGTTAAATATATTTAAAATATTAAAATTTAATATTTAAAACTTAAAATTATTTTTATGTTACGCAATTCTATATCTTATACCAAAAATGAAATAACAATCGCGTTATCAAATAATTCTAATTTTGATATCATTTATTCTAGATTTTATGTCCGATACTGGAAAGAAAAACATTATTTATTATGACAGTATCTATTTATTATAAAAAGGAGTTGTATTTAACAGGATTCCCTTATGCGATGTATTAATTAAATAATGTAAATAGCACCCCGATCGGTAGACATTTTACATCGACATCGTAACCTTAAAATTCTTCAATCTTAACAGGCATTAAGGTAATAAATTTATAAATAATATAAAACATAATAATAATATTAATAACATTTAAACGTTGTTAAATATTTTTAGAAATATATTACGATGATTTTTCTTAAAATTTTCTTTATTCAAATTTTTATCGTCAACTACGCATTGGCGCCAAAATTTTATTTTGCCGTGGGTATTGTCTCCGTATGATTAAGCGCATTTTAAATTCAGAAACAATTAAGATTGTGTGTTAAATATATAAAGCTATAGATTCATCTTCTATATGAATATATTTAGAAAATTTTCCATACTTTTGAAACATCCCGTAAGTAGTAATTTAAATTCATCATATATCACGTGGCAAAATTATAAACGTCCACGTGGTAACGCAGATTTAAAAAGAAAAAAAAAAATGTGCAGGATTTAAATTCTTAATGTTTTGTTATGAATATTTTTAGATAAGTTAAATTATTTATTTGTCTTGGATTAATTTATAATTAAGTTTCGGTTGTTAACAAGTTAATTTGATTTTATATACTCAAGTGATTTAAAAAAAATAGATTGTTCTGTAAGAAAGCTTGCTTTCCTCTTAAATATTTAAAAAATTAATATAATTCAAAAAGACTTTTGTGTAGTCTTTTATAAATTTAAAAATATTTTAGTATAAATTAGTTTCTTAAATGTTTTACATCAATTTTCCAGTTTAATCAGAATTATAAACTTGATTTATTACTTTTTAAATATAAAATCTAAAAATAATCATTATATAATGTAATATTGCAATTTATTGTTGTAATTAAAATTACTAAGGAAATAAAAATGATAGAAAACAATAGATTTAATTAAAGAAGCCATATGTTCTGTAGAAATTTAATTATGTATATAATTAAATCATGAAATCTTAAATTGTAATAATTGGAAATTTCTGTTGCTATTGTTACAGTGTACTTTTACAATTAATACAGTACTATGTTTGGATAACTTTTATTTTTGTTTCATACATATTTTATTTACTAGCTAGAGTAATGCTGTATGCTGTATGGCAGCGATTACTTTTCCCATACAATAAGTGCCTTATTAAAAATACAATAGAGGAGTAAGCTTAAGAATAACAACAAGTAAAAATAAATAACCATTGGTTAAACATTACATAAAAAACAGAATATCATCAAATGCAAAAAATTTAAAACTAATATGATAAATAAGTAAAAAATAGAATTAAAATTTGCAAAATCCAGTTAAAATAACATCAGTTGGCATACCAGAGTATTTATGTATCAAATAAACTTAAAGTAAAAATAAGATGTATTAAAAGAATGATAAACAAAATCCAATCTTGTAACAATTTATTTAGAATCTAGATCACTTATTAACTATTTGAATTTTATTTTTATAATTTTTAGTTTTATTTAAGAAATAGTTTTAAAATATTTAATTAAAATATGATTTTTAAGAAACATTTATAATGTATTTTAGCATATGTTACATACGCTTCAAATAATTTTTTATATTACAAAATATAGCTGTACTTTTTATTTGAACATTTCTCTATGTTAACCTCATTCTGCTGCTGAATGTTATAAACCTAAATTCTTTGTTTGCATATTTCAACTGCTAAATAGTATATTACATTTCAAATAACAAAGCCATATATATTAGTCATTCTATTCAACTATTCTACAGAGACATTGGTTTGATAATGATATAATTTAGTAATTCAGAATTATTGTAAAAAACATCAACAAAACCTTCAAATTATACCTGCAAATATAATTTAATATATGTTATGATAAACATTTCAGATTTGGTAAGAGAGCTTGTTTACTATTAATAATAAATTATATATGAATTTTAAGATATATCTGAAAAATATATAATATATATATATAGAGCTGTTTTCATCACACACTGGTGTCATACTAGCAGTTAGTATAAGAAGTATCAATAGTCAGTATTTAGTATTGGCAGTTGCTCAATAAAAACCGTTCTAATGTTCAGTCATCATAAATATGTATCCAGAAGATATTTTAGAAAAAGAGCACTATATATATATATAATCATTATCCTAATCATCAAATTCTAAATGATAAAAATATAGTATATTTGGGTGTTCTATTATTGATTGATTAAACAAAACATGTTTATATTTCATCTGATGTATTGGTTTTTACCTGATTAAAAATGAAATACAATATCTAATCAAAAGATAGACAAATTTAAAGTTTATTAACTTTAAATTTATTGTTGTTGAAAAATTTCTTAGAATAAACATAAATATTACAAAATTTTGCTTTATATTGATTTGTGTTTTTACCTTTGAGATATTTGAGCAATTATCTTATTTTCTAACTTATTTAAATTTTTGCATATTTTTTTATTAACCATTTGCTAATAGGATAATCACTCTAATATATTGTAGGTTTATTGAATAAACTAAAATAGAATATAGATTTTGATAAAATTTGTTTATAGTGTTAATTTTATATTTGAGTATAAACTGGAAAGAATCATAAAATCTAGAATATATTTTCACTTGATAATAAATAAAAAACATTCTCAAATATTTAATTATTACATTACATAATACATAATACGTGTTTTTGGGATGTAATACAAAGTAACAGGATAATAAGAGTAACTTTAATACCATTTATATTAATATAAATAGTAAGCAGAAAATTATCAAAGTACATAATGGCTATAATTAATAATATATAACTGGAATATTTATAAAAATAATAAACACCTTTAATTTTTCAGCACTTATTTTATACAGTGAACTGATACATTTGATCATTTTAATATTTTCAATTACTTTCCCAGCTGTTATATATAACAGAGGGAAAGTATGGCAATTGGTCAAAAAATGAGCCCCCAAGATTTCTACATTTTTAGATTCAGGACACCTTGAAATGTTGAGAAATGCAAAAAAAAATTTGGGGGTTTTTTCTGTATGTATGAATGTTAATATATGTGTGTGTGGGGGGCACAATTTTGTTTATCCTGTTTGAAGCTTAATAACTCCTGTGCTTTTTGTCAAAAATTTCTGAAATTTTACAGGGAGGTTTGCTTATTAAGGCGGCTATACATGATGGATTAATCCTCAAAGGAGTAACCATGCATGCCTGACCTTTATAATTCCTGGTAGTGTGTGTGGAGGGAAATTTAACAGTTTTGGCAAACTGTACCGACTACCGGAGTAGAATTGAAAAACCATTTGATTTTCCTGGCGCAGTGTCAGACTGCGCAGGCCGACCTAAACGTGTGTGAGAACAATGTCTCGTGAATGTTTGGAAGAATTATTTTCTATAACCTTATTAACTTTTATTATTTATAACCTAATAAATTAATTTTTCAGGTTATAAATTATTTTCGGATCAAAAATTTCTTGAGTAAATTAAAATTATAAATAATTTTAATATTTAGAAAACTTCTCAATTCATTTCTTCAGTTTCATAAAACATCTTTGTACTCTATATCATTTTCTTTTACATTTTAAAAAATTTATTCTCTTAATATCCAAGTAAATTAAAACATGACAACTTAAAATAAGACAAAGTTTAATAAATTCTTTTTAATTATTAAATTATAAAATTAATTTGCGATAATAATGTTTACAATTTGTACTAATATCGAATGTGGTTGAGAATTATTAGTACATATTCGTCTATAAAATTTAATCCGTAAATTTTTTTTGGTAGTAAAATCGACTTGCCATTGTCTTTCACTGATAATTGATGCTTTTTAACATAATCTATAGCCCAAGATTTCTCTTGAAAAATTAATTTTGTGATCTGAGATAATTCCATTAAAAAATTATTCATATGAAAAATTAATTTTGTGATCAGTGCTACCCAAACCACTACTACTACTATTTACACCATAGACTTCTATGCATACTTTTTTCCCGCGAGTTTTAATAGAATTTGTTGCCAATAAACATCACTGGCGTAATAATAAACACAATGACGTAGCGAACATAACTGGCGCCCAGGCCGCGACACTATATTGGCGCCCCCTCCCCCTCCAGAAACAAATTTTGTTTTTCTTGGAAACCATTTGGCTCCCCTCTGCAAGTGGCGCCCGGGACAAGCTGCTCCACCCTCTGCTGAAAGGTTTTCTTCGTTTGTGGGCGATAGGAAATTCTGAAGTTCCTCAAGGTCAGGCAGCCTCAAAGGATTAACTTAACGTGTATAGCTGCCTTTAGGGGAATTGATGCTATTAAATTTTGTTGATTGAAGGTCAAGGGGATGGAGAAATAAAGGGGGTCTTATGTATTTCCAGTAGGGTCAGACTTAATGACAATGTCACTCATTATTAGCATTTACAGTTTTTTATACAACCCATCCCTACCCTCAAAATTAAGCTTTTTGTCATTTTATAATAGTTAAAAATAAAAAGCTGTTAATAAAGTATGATAACAGTTGCCAGGAAAGTTAAGCAATGTTGCTTAACTTTCCTGGTTAATTTTAACAGGTTCATTTTTTGACCAACTTGTTTGCTGGAATTTTTTTTTTTTTTTTTGAAGGATGAAACTATTACTTTACAGTATAGAATGAATACTGGAAACATTTATATAACAACAGTTTATAAAAGAGATGACAATTTGAAAATTCAAATTGTCATTTTTTTTTTTCAATTTTGAATAATTTGATAGGTGTCTGATACAATAGGTATTTTTGGATTTTAGTGTGAGAACTTGTTGGAAGATATTACAGTTAAAATATTTAGAAATGAAAAATATATAAGAAAATAAATCTGAAATTAAAGTGTAAGTATAACAAAACTTTGAGAGAATAGTTATGAAATAATTTTTATATTTGAAATATAAAATATTAAGAAGTTTTCTATTGTATTTCATTCACATAAGAAAATTAAAAGCATGATTAATTAATTTTCACTTGTATTCTACCACCATTTTATTTCTTTAGTGAATATTTTCATGTTTTGTCCTTTATTCTTTAATTTATAATCTTTAATCTAAAAGTTTATTAGTTAAAAAAAGATTTATGAATAAGCAAATTTTTGCCAATTTACTTTTATTAGTTCTTTATAATTTAATGCATCTTAAAATTGAAAATATGAGAAGTTATTTAAAATATAAGAAGTTATTTAAAAACTATATCCTGTATTTTTATATGTTAAATTAAGTTTAATTAATTAATTACTGCAAATTACCAGTATGAAGAAACAGTCTTGATGATATTCATACAAATATATAATGAATTTGAATAAAATGTGATACTGATTTAATTGTTACAATGAGACTATCATTCTGTTATATATTAAAATTCATAATGCTGTGTTTCTGAACTACAATATTTTCTGTAGTTTTAATATCTATATATTATATAATTGCTCTTAAATTTTTTAAAACACTAAGTAAGTAGGTGATAGTTATATGTTGGTTATATATTCTATTTTTAGATGTAAGTAATCAATAATTTAAGGTTTATCTTATTATGCTATAGATGTTTATAATATACAATATACATAATACAATTTTTATATTAATTGCAGATCAAGTTTCCACATTACTATACTTCTGCTGTTCGTTTTGCTTCAATGAAGTACATTTTGGTAACTGGTGGTGTCATTAGTGGAATTGGGAAAGGAGTAATTGCAAGTAGTTTGGGCACACTATTAAAGTCACAAGGAATAAAAGTTACATCAATTAAAATTGATCCTTATATCAATATTGATGCTGGAACATTTTCTCCATATGAACATGGTAATTATATACTGTATGTGTTTTAAGAAATACTTTAAAATACCAATATTACAAGTATGGAAACATTAACAGTTTTATTAATTGTGTGTTAAGTTTTATCAATTTAACAATTTTATTTATTAACAATTCTGAAATTCAAAACTGATGTAAAGTAGTATGTACAGTACATCTTCATTGATCAGCATTATTATTTATTAAATTTTTTTATTTTAATGAAAATGCTCTATTTTTTATTCACAGGACAAATTAAGAGCTTAACACACAAATATTAGCTGGATGTTAATGTTTTATGCATTTTTGTTTTTCTTTTTTAATTTAGAGTTAGGAACTTTTCTGTTTTTGTGTATTTTTGTTATTTCATAAAACAATTACAAAAAAATTTACAAAATTAAAAGTAATTATTATGCTTATAATGTTGGTTATAGAAATGGTTATACTGTATAAAGCACACTTGTAGATAAATTATATTATTTTTATGTAACAGAACAGATTACTAATAAAATTAGTTGATGGATCCAATAAGAACCAGCTTTTATCATGTAATTTTTATGCTTGGTTTAGCTTTATTTTTTTAAGTTGTTTAAAATTTAATTTTTAGATATGTCATTATTATTTGTAGAATTGTAAATAAAATGATTAAGTTTGTTTTGAAAATATTTTGTTATTGTCTGAGGCATTAAAAATATTTAGTCTGACTAAAAAATGCTTCCATACTTTAAATCTTTATATATCTAAATAATTATTTTGCCACTAGGTTAAATCTAGGTTTAAAATTGCAGATTGTTTTTCACTATTCTTGTGTTTCTCGTGTAAATTATTTTATGATAATGAAAAATATATGTATATAAAAATGGTTTATCAGTTTTAAAAACTGAAATAGTCAAATTTCCCATTTAACAACAGTTATTTGTTTCTAGGGAATATTGTTTTGTAACAAATATTGTTAAAAATTATAAGAAAAAAGAATAATTTAAAAAAACAAACATTTTTTGATTATTATTAAGTACACATATGTTGACCATTGTCTTATTTCAAAAATTTACTTATAATGTTAAATTTGAAAGTTTATTTGATCATATATTTATTTTGTTTTAAATATCGTTTATATCTAAAATGAGAGAAAAAAATTTCTTATAAAAAGTTGCTTCAATATATTAATTCCATCCATATACAGTATATGTTTTTGATGGTTTACATTGAAACTAGAATTATATTCTAGTTCCAATAAAGATCATCAAACAGACATGAATGTTTTGATATTATATAATTATACATATGTAAATTAATATTCTGTGTTCATTTAAAAAACAGTAATTTAATTATATGTTTTTAGGAGAGGTATTTGTATTAGATGATGGTGGCGAAGTGGATCTCGATTTAGGGAATTATGAGAGATTTCTTGATATAACATTAAATAAAGACAATAATATTACAACAGGAAAGATCTATGCTAATGTTATTGCTAAAGAAAGAAGCGGTGATTATCTTGGTAAAACAGTTCAGGTATTATTTTTTAATTTTAATTACTATATTAATTTAAATATCATTTGAATAGAAATTGACTATTTTGTATTTAATTTTAAAGGTTGTACCTCATATCACTGATGCTATTCAAGAATGGGTGGAAAATGTAGCTATAAAACCTGTAACTGCTGATGGAACAACACCAGAAGTGTGTATTATTGAGGTAATAAATAAAATAATTTATTTTAAATAATTTGTTTTCTTTATCCTATGTAATTTACCAAGAAATTCTAAAACTTAGTTAGGAGGAACAATTGGGGATATTGAAGGTATGCAGTTTGTTGAAGCTTTTAGACAGTTTCAGTTTAGAGTAAAACGAGAGAACTTTTGCTGTGTTCATGTCAGTTTGATTATTCAGGTGAGTTTAAAAGATGATAATGATTAAATAAATAGAGTTTATTTCAGTTTAAAACTTATATTATATCCTATGGATATTTTGTTTCCAGCCTAAAGCAACTGGAGAACATAAAACAAAACCCACTCAAGCAAATGTGAGAGAATTAAGAGGTCTTGGTTTATCACCAGATTTTGTAAGTGTAATTTTATGAATTAAATTTTTAAAGTTTTACAAAAAATTTAAAATATGGAAATACTGAAACTTATAATAATGATAGATGATCAAGTTCAAAAACAAATATAGAAAATATAGTGTATCTTCTATCTGCATTAATATACATTGTTTTTCATGTGCATTGCTGATTAATTAGTGATGGTAAATATAGTTATATATTTTGATTAAGTATATAATAATACCCTTAATTATTTTAATGAGAATATACACATATATTTCCAAAGAATCTTCTCTTTCTTTTTGTGTTTAAATTTATTATATTTTATATACAGTATGTATCAAAAACAAGTATGGTAATAAGTACATTATCAAGTATGTAATACATGTATAGTAATATTAATACAGTCAGCACCATAACTAGGCCTGGCAAAAGGGCACACACTAGGTGTGCCCCTTTTGCCTGGAAGGTGTAATCAGCAAAGTGATTCTTAGTATTTCAATATATCTAACAAGTTTTTGAGGGTGCAAAATTAGAATCTTGGCCTGTGTGCAATGATCCTGACTATGACACTGAATACAATAAATAAATTTTATAAAACTGTATAGCCATTACTGTATAGTATGTAGTCTATATAAACAAACATCATTACTAAACCTGATATATTTTAAAGCTATACACCAACCAATGCAGAATATATAGCCATTTCTAGCCTGATAATATTTGACATTAGTTGGTGTATATGTAGTCTATATTAAATTAAACAGCTTATCTAAATTCACACAAAAGCTGTAACAGTTGATCAAAAGCAAAAAATACATACGCCAACACTCAAATTTTAACATAAACACAAATGTTTTTGGCTACATTTAGGAGCCTTTATCAGGTAAGGGAACCATTCAATAAATCAAATAAGTACAGATCTTTCAAAAATGAAACATTCCATACTTGCTAGATTACAAATTAAAAATTTAAGATCATTCCATACTTAAGCAGATGCAGTTTTTAAAATTATAAATTATAAATGATTTAAATACAAAGATTCATGTATAGATTAAAATATTACAAATTAAACATAAGTAATAAAAGTAAGTTGAGAATTGAGCAGACATGAATTAAGTGTTACAAGTATGTAGATTTCCATTTTACATCAAATTTGGAGTAGTTCTTATCATACAAACAAATTTTTACTTGTTTTTTACATCTATATAATGTTTCCAATTTTTAATGCATATGACCTTGTTCATTTACATAATGATGTGGTAGACAGGCCACCTTGTGGAAGAACACACATTGAAGAGATTTTAATTTTTTACTTAATTTTGATTTTAATGTTCTTAGCTAATTACAGTCGACCCCCCTATAAGATAGAGATACGTTCCATTCTCTAGGAATCCGCTTTCTTACGAATCCTTCCAATCACAACCCGACACGTATCAAGTTTACGGACTACGGCTGTTTGAAAGATTTTCTTCCATAAAATTAATCGATTCTAGACTAATCCGACTCAACATTTCCAAAATACGTATATATTTTTTGGGAATAATCCGTATAAACTACGCTATAAACAAAAAATTGTAGGATTACTTACCGAGTGTCACCATTCGACATTGCCATTGCTCAACATTGTTTTCGTCGCGGAACAGCTCAGCAAAGAGCGGCCGATTTCTAACAACTTATTTTTCTGTGAAAACTTCGTAGAACTTCGGAGACATCATTAATATAAATAATTTTAATCGCCGTTGAATAAGAAATGTTTCTTTCACAAGAAATGTATAAAATTACAGTACTGTATTAGACTTACGGTACCTAATTTACATACTGACAGACGATAGTTAGCGTAAAAATCTCCGTAGCGTGGCGCCACGCTAGACGGCGGAAATTATATATTTAATTATAACAAAGTTACAATAAGTTAATATATAATTATATATACAGTACCTAATTTATATATAATTAATATATAATTATATGTACAGTACCTAATTTATATATAATTTATATAATACTGTCCAGACGATAGAAATCTCTCCGTAGCGTGGCGCTACGGACGGCGGGAAAGTAGTTCGGCTTCCCGATGACGTTTGAGGTGTTTATAGGGAACTTTTACTATTTTTTACGGATACCGGTAGCAATTTTTTCGTAGTTTTATAGGAATCGTAACTATAGGGACCGTAATTATAGGGGGGTCGACTGTATTTTTATTTTACATAGAATTATTGCTTATTTTCATTTATAATATGCCAAGCCAATTTTCATTTATTTTTTATATTGGAGTTTTTATTTATGCATTTCTCACCTCTAATACTCTCTATACTTTCCTTAAACTTCCTACTATATGTTTCTTTTTCTTTATGAAGGATTCCTATATTATCTTTGTCTCTGTTACACATATCAACTAAATAAAATTAATGATGAGATTTGCCTTGTGTCCGAGTGAATACACTATATAATTGGTGTTTGAGTTGCACAATTTTTTCAAAGTTATATTTTTTCAAAGTTAATAAATAACTTTGAAAAAATTGAATGCTTAGGAGGTTGGTGACAGGAGAATGGCAAAGTAAGCCACAGTGTTAAATGAAACTTTACTAATCACACAATAGTATATGCAATCTATCCTGCAAAATGGGAAGCATATTGTCAAAGCTTGAGAGGAGATTTTAATTATGGCTGTTTTAATCTTGTAGAAGGAAAATGATAAAGTGTTGCTGGCTAATAAATATGGGCATATGAGCTACAGAGATCATAGCTGAACAGAGTGTAAACATTAATTAATATAAAATAAATGCATAAATTTGTTTTAGGTCATCATATATATTCTAAATACAGTCATCCCCTATGTTATATTTATGAGTTTGAGTTTTTTTTATTAGAAATTTTGTTATAAACTTCCAAAAGGTCTTAGAGTCATGAGCATAATCCTGAATGATTCTGTGGAAATACTTGTTATATTGCAGTTTACAATTTGTATATTATTATTAATATTGAATTGTTTTATATAAATATAAGAAATTAGGATTTCCACTAGTTTTCCATTTGTGCCAGGTTTTAAGTACAGTTTGATGATGATATGGAATTTAGGAATTTTTACAGCTGGTATTGAATCATTGTATGCATAACATTATATGCTTTGATAATGTTGGAATGTATAAATAAAATGCTGCTGCTTCTCTGATTTGGAAGAAAGATAGATAGGGATTAGAAGTTATTATTTTGGATAATAATCTATGGAATATGGTGTTTCCCAGCTTTCAGTAAAGATGTACATTTTTATATGTATCATTAAGAAGAAGAGATAATGAAGAGGTCTTATTTATGGCCAATTGGACATTTTGCAAAAAAAAATATGTAGAGATATTGTGAGATAATGTAATGATTCTGATAAACAAAAAAAGAAAAGAATATACAAGTAAAACGGCAAAACCATATTTGGGACAAGACTATGTCTCTGAGACTCACTACTAAGTGGAATCACTTTGATGCTAAAGGTGGGTCTCATTCTCATTCTCCAATTTTCTTTGATATCGCTGCTTTTGGGTGTGATTGTTCAAACTTCGCTGGCCACGAACATGAGGTCGTCCACGATACATTTTCGATGAAATTAATCTATCCAATTTCAAAATTTCTCTCCATTGCGTGTCAGCCTGGGTTGAATTTTTGTTGATGCATAATGAAAATTTCCTGTATTTGAAAAAAATAATTGTGGCTATTGTATCGTCCAAAATTATTTTTTTAATTTTGTACAAACAATATATAGTTTAACCCGATTATAATGTCATCAGATGTAACGACAACCCTAATATAATGTCAAATTTTTATCCGTCTCACGATTTTACTATACTAGATAATGTTAAAAAAACTACTTGTAACGACATAAAACCTTGTTTTAATGTCATATTTGAAGCACTCCCAAATTTACAAAATTAGATTACAAATTTTATTTAACAAAGAAAATACTACATGTTCATAAACATCGCTAAACCCGATGTAATATAGCTAATCACCAAACATATGCCGTAAATCCATCGGGCTAGTTTTAAGGCTAATTACTAAATAAATTACGAAATTAATTTGGCACTAGAGGTAAGCGTTAGGCGCCATCTCTTATTAATATTAATAATTATAAATAAATTAATTAATTTAAATAATTTAGAACCGCTGGGAGAAAAAAATTTTAAGAAGACAGTTTTAAAAAAATGAGACAATTGATGACAAAATAAGATGAGTAGAATATTAGCTGTAAGAATAGTGGATCACATAGATAATAATAGTAAAATGGAATTTTAAAAATACAGATATAAAAATGAGTAAAGCAAAAGAAACAATTAACCTGGAAAAATATTTACAAAAATTTCAAGGTATTCTTTATGATCCACATTCCAATGACAAATCACATAATTCATTTAAAGTATGATTGTAATGTTCAGTTTTTATTCCATAGTTTTAATAATTTGTACTTAATATTGTTATAAAATACAAGTACAGTAGACCCCCCTATAACGCTTAGATATGTTCCACGTTATTCGAATTTCATGTTGTAGGAATCTTTAAATACATGAGCCAATCGCAGCCCGACACGTGTGAAGTTTACGGACTACAGCTGTTTGAAAGGTTTTCTTCCATAAAATTAATCAATTCTAGACTAATTCGACTCAACATTTCCAAAACACGTATAATTTTTTGGGAATAATCCGTATAAACTATGCTATAAACAAAAAATTGTAGGATTACTTACCGAGTGTGCACCGTTCGACTACGCCGTTGCTTACGCTTGTTTTTGTCATGGAGCAACGCACCAAACGGCGGCTGCGTTTTCTGATAAGTTATTTTTCTGGGAAAACTTCGTTGAACTTTGGAGACATCATTAATATAAATAATTTTTATGGCCATTGAATAAGAAATGTTTCTTTCACAAGAAATGTATAAAATTAGTGCTGTATTAGACTTACGGTACCTAATTTACATACTGTGCAGACGATAGTAAACAACTTACTAGCCTAAACTCTCCGTAGCGTAGCGCTGGACGGCAGAAATTATATATATATAATTATAATAAAGTTACAATAAATTAAGTTAATATATAATTATATATACAGTACCTAATTTATATATGATACTGTACAGACGATAGCAAACTCAATTTACCCGCCTAAACTTTTTGTAGCGTGGCACTGGATGGCGGAAAGTAGTTTGGCTGCTCATCCACTATTGGTCCAGACTCGACTAATCTTGTCACTACATGAGTTGGCGACGACATTTTACGAGTCCCTTTATACGAATACTGCCGCAATTTTTTCGCTACGTTATAGGAACCCACGTTATGGGGGTTGACTGTATGTGCCTTGAAAGTTAAATATGTATTGAAAAAGTAATTAAAAAAAATTACATAATGACGTTAAGAATTATGCTTAAATTGACTTAACAAGATTGCTTCAATAATATATGTTGGGGACCCAAAAAAAAACCAAATTTTTTGTATAAAAACTTTATTTATTAACCTTTTTACAAAATTCCTTCAGTCACCTTCAAAGTACTCTCCATTAGATGCGATGTATGTACTTGTCAAGTCTTTTTCCCCACTGTTTGAAGCATCTCTGGAACTCTTCAACCTTGATATCATCCAGTGCCCTTAGGGAAGCTGTTTTTACCGCCTCCACATCATCAAAACGCTTTCCTTTTAAATTTTTTTCATTCTCAGAAACAAAAACGTTGCATGGGGCTGGTTGTCTGGTGAATATGGAGGGTGGGGAACGACAGGCCATCCCCGAGAGGCCAAATAGTGGGTCACTCATAAGGCTGTGTGTGTGTGTGTGTGTGTGTGGGAGCATTGTCATGATGAAGGAACCAATCACCTGATTGCCGAAGTTCTGGGAGTTTCCTTCACACATCCTCTCGCAAACATCTTAAAACTTTTTTGGCAGATTTTTTCAACATTTTCATCATTTTGAGATGTTGAAGGATGCCCAGAACTTCGCAGGCGGAACAAAATAACAATAAGAGAAACACAACACTATGCTCAAACATAAATCTACAAACTGATGCCGTCTGCACAGCTGTTTCTTGAAGATCTCTACTAACCCCATCTAGCGGGAGAACTCTACTATGTCTACGAGTGGCAGCGCGCTCTCAGTTCAGTTTTTTTTGGTCCCCCTCGTATATGAAATCAGATAAATTTATTCTAATCTTTCTTCATACTGTATAATACTTAAACATATCAAATTAATAAAAGCATATTTTGCAACAGAGATTCAAATATTAATACTCAGTTTTGAAGATTAAGCATTTTGAATATTCACTAGAAACAGGCTTTAAATTATTTCAAAAGTAATTCTAATGAAAAGTAAAAATGTTTATTATCTGAATTTGTGATCAATTTTTAATAAATATATGAAATAATAAATTTATATTAAAATTTTAAATAAAATTTACAAAATATGGGTGATCTTTTTCTTAAATTATCAATGATTAAGGTGCAAATTTAAGAAATTAAAATTATTATTATATATGATTGAAAAATGTAAAAATAGTAAAAAAATTGAGTTAAATTATATTATAAATATTTTATAAACTTTAGATATTGTAATGCATACTTTATAATTTACTTTGTTGTACTTCAGATCATTTGTCGCAGTGAAAAACCTGTTACTACAGAAGTAAAGGACAAAGTATCAAATTTCTGTCATGTGTCACTCAATCAAGTAAAAATTATTTTTTTTTTAATGTATATTTAATGTTTAGGTTACTGTGAAAAATATGTAATTTTGTTTTTACATGACTTTTAGGTTATATGTATTCATGATGTTCCTTCTATTTATCATGTTCCATTGTTACTAGAAGAACAAAATGTAGTTTCTGCTATTGCAAATAGACTTAATTTAAAATTACCAACATTACTTCCTAAGCCACCTTTATATGAGTGGCAAGAACTGGCATCTCAATTTGACTCTGTGGTAAATGAAGTAAAGATAGCATTGGTGGGGAAATATACTCAGTTGAAAGATTCATATACATCAGTGACTAAAGCTCTTCAACACGCTTCTCTTTCTTGTAATATGAAGCTAAATCTAAAGGTGATCTAAAATTTTATAATTGAAAATATTTTAGAATCCATATAAATCTGTAGTTGTTTAAACGTTTGAAAATATTTTCAGTTTATTACAGCAGATGATTTAGAACCTGAAACTGAACGAACAAATCCTGTTCGTTATCATGAAGCCTGGCACCAGCTCCATCTTTCTGAGTAAGAAATTTTGTCAGTTTTAATTTTGAATTTAAATTTTGTTTACTTGAAATAAATGCATATTTTAGTGGTGTAATAGTTCCTGGTGGTTTTGGAAATCGAGGCATTGAAGGAAAAATTGCTGCAATTACATGGGCAAGGAAAACTTCCAAACCATTTCTTGGTACATTTTGTTCACATACAAAATTAAAATCAGTTGTTAAATGATTGACTTTAATTTTTTCAATTTATTTTAAAATGTAGGAGTGTGTTTGGGTCTGCAGTGTGCAGTTATTGAGTTTGCACGAAATGTGTTGGAAATGAAGGATGCAAATTCCCAAGAAGTAGATCCAGAATCAAAAAACCATGTGGTAAATACTACTATAAAATAATTTTTAAATATTTTATTCTCAATTTTTTAAAAATTATATTATATTATGCATAGATAAGTTCATCTCATTAATTTTACAATGTGTAATTGAATTAACTTTAATACATAAATTTAAATATATATATATATATGCTAATAATACGAATACAAATGTAAAATATAATCAGGTTTTGAAAAGATATCAACTTATTTTGAAATACATTGCCAATCATAATCCCAAAAGACACAAACCTGAATATTGAATTCCAAAAGTTTAAAATGCCAAAAACCTCAATTCACATTGAAAAAGACTATTTTTGGGCTATATGAGAGGAATAGAAGCCAAATTGGTAATTGGTTGCATACTGAATTATTTATAGAGGTCTGTCTTTATTTGATACTGCATTGAGGTTTGTTCTGTCTTTTTTCATATCACTCTCTATTGTATTCCTTAGAACATAATGGAAGAGATTTGTGAAGTTATTCTGTTGCAAAAAAGCTGTGAGAAGTTAAAGATACTAGGCTTAAAGTTTAAAGGCTAATTATTATTAGTGAAAACAGAACAAGCATTTTTAATGGCCATCATATGCTTGCAAAGTTTGTAGATCAGAATCACTCTCCAATTACAAGTACTGTATTTCAAAGATTGCAGAAGTAATAAAAATGCAAGTGAAAAATACAAAACAATCTCTCCTTAAATTATTCCATCATGTACAACTTTTGTTTCTTCACATACAGCACCATGCTTGCCTTCAAAAAATGCAATTGTCAGAAAAGATCTGACAAGTTCAATGACCTTCTGAACCAAAGATACTTGCTGGCATAGAGGTTCCTCCAGTATTAAAAAACACATTAAATGGTGAACTGTTCTTGGTTAGAGATTTGACTGTCAAAGATACTTCTTATATATAACATAGAAAAATAGTCTATGCTTCAAATTGGATAATGGATGCTACTTTCAAACTATTCTCACTGTTTTTTATTAACTATATACAAGTTATTCACTGTTAATAAAAATTGGATCTGAGAATTCTAGAACTTATCCACTCTTTTATATATTGATGACTGGAAAAACTGAAGCACTTTATAAACACTTATTTGAAGATTTGGTAGATTTTACAGAAGAAAATGGATTCTAATTAAATCCCCAAACCATAATGACAGATTTGGAATTAGATGCAATCAAGGCTTCTAAAAGTGAATTTCAAGGTGTTACCAATAAAGTTTGTTTTTCCATTTAGCCTAATGCATTTGGCAAGAAATTGAGATGAGGGCATTGGCACAGACCACTTGATATGGCAATGATGAAATCTTCTGTTTAAAATCGTCATTTAACTATATTGCCATTTTTTCCATCTGATGAAATTCCAAGAGCTTTTAATGAATTAAAGTTATATTTACCTACAGAAGCCAACAAAGTTATTGACTGGTTTGAGAATAATTATATTTACAGCAGATAAGTAAACACTTATGCAATAGTGTTGAAGTTCAGTTACCATTATTATATCCTCCAATTAACAGTATTATAGATTCATCAGTGTTTCTCAAATCATAGAAGTATTTCAAAAAGAGCAATGCAGAAAGAGCAATACATGTCAAAAATGAATGTGAATGTATTCTCTGAGGAGAGCCATGCCGTAAAAGAAGAAAAAACATCTATTCATCACGAAGCAAGATTTCAAAATATAGTCAATTATCATGAAAGTCAGCCAGCTCTTACGGATTACCTCCATATAATTGCCAATAATCTTTCCCTGTAATATACTCTTTTATACGTTGTTTTTTCCCCTCCATTATTTAAAATTCTCAGCATTGATTTTTATAATTTGTAATTTCATGTATTTGATTTTAGCTTATATGTATTAATGTAATAATATTCAATATGTGTGTATTATGTTCATACATATTGATTATTTTTGTTATTGAATATTTTATTGTGTAAAAGGGGATATGAAATGTTTGTGTTTCTTAAATAAATTCCATTTTAAATATGTAAATAACAATAAATCTTTAAGACATTTATTATTTTTGCAGGGTTATATTTTCAGAACCATTGATAACCTTTTGGGATTGTGTCCTGAAGGACAATCCCAAAAGGTTATTGATGGTTCTGAGCAAAAGTGATTTTTATGAGGAAGAATCCTTTAGTTTGACTTTTATTCAAAGCTGTTTTTTAAAAGTTATATACTGTATATCATCAGCTACTGAATTAGAAACCTTTATTCATTATCAGATTAGGCCACCTTTAGCCTGAATTACAACACATGCAAATGGACATGGATTCCATTAGATGTTTAAGTGAACCTATAACTAAAGAAAGAATACTAGGCATTCAGCAGATTTGTCTTTAAATTGCTTAGATTGGAAGGAAGTGGATGCCTATTGCAGATGTCTTTTCCCAACATGTCCCATATGTTCTTCATAGGATTCAGATCTGGACTGCTAGCTAGGGAAAATGCTGGAAATCATTATCATGCTTTCCATTGAGCAAGAATTATTCAATGGGAAGTGCACTTATCATCTATGAAACATTGCTTTCCTTCTAGATAAAAATGTAACATTACAGGATGAACTATATCTGCTGCAATATTCAGATAATTTCAGTTTACATGACTTTCTAGCAATATCAGTGGATATATTCCATGCCAATGAAACGTATTCCAGACCCTTGAACTACATGTACAGTACCAGGCACTCTGTGTTCATTGCTTCATGAGGTTTCTTGAAAATCTCTGCTGATCAGTGATATGATACAGGGTATACAATGACTTGTCCAACCACAAATCTGTAGTTTTCATTTTGGCATTCCAATTCTATTCAATTCCCAGCACATAAGTCAGTTTTTTCACACTGGTTGCAGAGAGGTCTATGTTAAAGAAATCTATCAATTGTTGCACACTTTAAGTTCTGTTCTGTTCTTCAAAAGTCTCTTCAGATGACAATGGTCTCATTCATAACAGATTTTTTTGGGTGATAATTATGCCTCAGATGGACAATGTGGATCATTTTTCCAGGCATTATATATATATATCTTAAATATCTCACTGTTTGAAATTCCAGATAGCTAAGCAGTTTTTAAAATTATAGCATCAGCAAGACTGGCTGCCATAGTTTGAAAAGGGGCTCATTTTCAAACTATGAAAGCTGTCTCATCTTTCCTATTGCAAGAAGTATTAATGATTACTGCTACACAGCAGTTTTTAATAGGAGTGAAGATCATGTGATTAAGCATATCAGCATATAATTTCCATACATATACAGGGTGTTTATAAATGAATGGTACGGTTTTAAAAATGAATAATAAATCTATTTATTACCTTATATGAGCAAACCTTACAGCATAAGCAGTGGCAACTGTCCAAGTTTTTTATGCACTATATGCTCTTTGCTTCGCTTCTTAATCGTGTTGTTCACCAATGCTGGATTGGACATGGTGCAACAGCGGACAACAAACTGCTCCCCTGGCCACCCCATTCACCAGATTTATCACCCTGCAATTTCTTTTTGTGGGGATTTGTTAAAGACTGAGTTTATGTACCATCAATGCTTGTGTCCCTTGAGGAACTGTGTGATTGGATAAAGCATGCACTTGCAGAGCATCACGGAGGACATGCTACACCACATATGGGAAGAATTTGATTACCGTGTAGATGTGTCGTGTGACTATGGGTGCATGTATTGAAGGATTGTGATTAATGCATAAAAAACTTGGACAGTTGCTGCTGCTTATGCTGTGAGGTTTGCTCATATAAGGTAATAAATAGATTTATTATTAATTTTTAAAACTGCACCATTCATTCATAAACACCCTGTATATGCTTTGAATGATCATTGCACTTCTTTGCATAAAAGTTCTAATTTAGTGACTGGGCAGTCACTAAATTAGAACCTTTGATTGATATTTCATTTTGTTAATTGGATCTTTACATAAAAATTACATTTGTGGTTTAATTTTTTGAAAACTTAAATTAGGAGTGGCTTATTTTCTTTCTTAAAAATGGCAGAAATTTGCAGAAAGAGTAAATTATTGATAAGATATTATACACATACAGAAAAAAAATTAAGAATTTTAAAATAGTTTTATATCATTTTCAGGTAATAGAAATGCCAGAACACAATCCAGAAGGTCAGTTAGGTGGAACAATGAGGCTAGGAAAGAAACGTACCTATTTCAACACTGATAAATCAATTTTACGTGAGTTTAGTTTTTTAAGATTATTTATATTTTATTTATTCTAGATTATAATACTAAGTGTTTACAGGGACTTTATATTGTAATGCTGATTACATTGAAGAAAGGCATAGACATCGTTATGAAGTAAATCCAAAATATGTACCTGAATTTGAAGCAGCAGGCATGAAATTTGTAGGTCAAGATGAACATAAAGAAAGAATGGAAGTCATGGAATTAGAAGGTTTTATTTTATCTTATTTTTTTTTAAATAATTAAATTATTACTAATTTGTTAATAATAATAATTTTTATAATATAGGCCATCCGTATTTTGTGGGCGTACAGTATCATCCTGAGTACATTTCTAGACCATTAAAACCCTCTCCACCTTATCTTGGTCTTATTCTTGCATCTTCTAATAAATTAAATTCCTATTTAAGTAAGAAATTCCATTTAACAGTTTTTAATGAAACGACAACTGATGTAAGAAATGGTTTTCAAAAACAACATGTACTGAAGTCCAAATCAAATTTAGTTAATGGTGATATTAATGATGTTTCTCTACTAGAAAATAAAAATTTACATATTGGATGAAATTTTTAGCTTAGGAAATATTAGTTTGATATAAGTTACATTAAACAATGTGATGATACTTAATACTTAATTAAATCATTTTTAGTGAATAAATATGTAGCTTCAATCACTTCATTTGTTTGAAAAAATTTAAGTTGATTTAAAACAATTTTTCAAACAAATGTTGTATATTAATAGTACAAGTTGAATCATGTTTTGTCCAAAATTTCATATTGTCTGGAGTACAATCATATAAATTTGCATTTTCTCATAAATTTTTAGTGTATAAAATTTGACAGCTATGTCAAATAATAGATTTACAAATTTTGATAAATAAAATTAGTGAAATCTTTTACTTTAAAACAGTAGTTTTATAGAAGTATCATAAAAGGCAATTCAGTCTCTCAAAAATAAATTTTTAAAATATTTTTTGTGGACATTTGTAAAAAGTTTTCTGTAATATTTTGTTTGGAAGAGTTAGATCAAAAATATTTGTAAGTGCTAAACTATTGTAAATTTTTATTCTGAAAGAAAGGATTTATTGTGTTGTTAATACTCAAGCTGATTATTGATTAAAAGAATGTATATCTGTTGCATTAGCATTGATATCTTCATAATAAAACTATTTAAATTGTTATAAAATTAAATCTTTGTATGTAGAGAAAAATTAAAGTTCAAAATTTTGAATGAACTTTATTGTGTATTTTTTTAATGACACAGAAATTTACATGCCAAGAATATAATTATTTATATACACAAGCAATGATACATCGCAAAAGTCAAAATACAAAAAGCATCATGTAAGAATTGATACAATCCTTGAACAAGGTAATATACAAAGTCTACAGTTTAATTTGGGTGTAAATTCCAAAATATGATTCAAGAAAAAATTAAACAAATTTGTAGCTAGATAAAAGTTGGTTTGATACAACTATACAGTAGACCCCCCTATAACGCTTAGATACGTTCCACGTTAATCGAATTTTACGTTGTAGGAATCATTAAATACATGAGCCAATCGCAGCCCGATAGGTGTGAAGTTTACGGACTAAGGCTGTTTGAAAGGTTTTCTTCTATAAAATTAACCGATTCTAGACTAATTCCACTCAACATTTTCAAAACACGTATAATTTTTTGGGAATAATCCGTATAAACTATGCTATAAACAAAAAATTGTAGGATTACTTACTGAGTGTGCACTGTTCGACTATGCCATTGCTCAAAGCTTGTTTTCGTCGCAGAACAGCACGTGAAACGGCAGCCACGATTTCTGATAACGAATTTTTCGCAGAAAAATAACTTGACCTTTGGAGACATCATTAATATAAATAATTTTTATGGCCGTTGAATAAGAA